AAAATGGTAGGGCACCAGGCCCAGGAGAAATATATGGAGAACTGATAAAGTGTGGGACCAATAAACTCTACAAACATTTAACAAAACTATTCCAAACATGCATAGATAAACAAGTACCGGAAGAGTGGAAAATTAGCTATTCAACAACGATATATAAGAAAGGAGACAGAAACAAATGCGAGAACCACCAAGGAATTGCAGTAACAAATACGCTGAGCAGAGTGTATGGAAAACTTATAAAAGCCAGAATAGAGAACGAGTACAAAGATAGTGAGGCAGAAGAACAGGCCGGTTTTAGAGCAGGAAGATCAACTGTAGACCATTTATTCAGTTTGGACCAGGTAATGGAAAAGAAACTAGCCTATAACCAAGAACTCCATTTACTTTTTGTCGATCTAAAGAAAGCATACGACAATGTTCCGCTGAAAAAGCTTTGGGAAGCACTGGAAAAGACCAATATCAACTTAGAAATAATAAAGGCAGTAAAAACGCTCTATAGTGATGCAAAGACCAAGATTAAACAGGGAAACTTAATCAGTAAAGGCTTTATAGCAACTAAAGGACTTAAACAGGGATGCTGCATATCACCAAGGCTTTTTAAAATATACTTAGAACAAGCGCTCAAAGGGTGGAAAAACAAATGTAGACACATGGGAATACCGCTCAATGAATACAATCTTTATACTTTAAGCTTTGCAGATGATCAAGTATTAATTGCACAGGCAAGGACGTATATAAGGGGGGGTTTTGGGGGTTCGAACCCCCCCCCCCCCCATTGAACTGAATAAATTATTTTTTTAAGAAAAATAAACGTTTTTGGGCGTGGCTCCCGAAAAAAATTTGCGCCTTCGGCGACATCCTGAGCTATGCTACGCTATGTTACATATACCTACATCGTCTGGTCTAAAATTGAAACCCCTTCCAGCATAGACGACGAGCCGCGACTGCTCTAAACCCCCCCCCCCCCCCCATGTAAAAGCTATAGCTACGTCGTTGTGCACAGGACTATGATGACCTAGAGTACATGACACGAAAATTGATAGAGGAGTACGAGAAATGGGGTTTGGAAGTAAATCTAACGAAAACAGACTATATGACTATAGGAGGTGAACAACAAAATCTGAAATTAAATAACGGACAAGAAATAAAACAATGTACTGAATACAAATATTTGGGCATGAAAATCTCACATGAGGGAACTCTAGACGAAGCAATTAAAGATCGGAATATACAAGGACGCAAGGCAATATCCCTACTGAATGGTGTACTGTGGGATCAAAATATCAACAAAACTAACAAAACGAGAATATACAACACCATAGTCAAAAGCATAGTCACGTATAGTTCAGAAGTCTGGCCACTGAAGATCAGAACCGCAAAAATGCTAGAAGCAACTGAAATGGACTTTTGGAGGAGATCGGCAGGCAGGTCAAAAATGGAAAGGATAACAAATCTGAGAATTAGGGAGATTATGGACGTAAAACACACAATAATAGATGATATAAAGGACAAACAGCTGATTTGGTTCGGACATGTACAAAGAATGGCAGATACAAGAATACTTAAGCAAATAATTGAGTGGAAGCCAAGGGGAAGAAAAAGACGCGGCAGACCAAGAAGAAGCTGGAGAAGCGGAGTAGACGAGGAAATGAAAGACAGAGGCTTAGAAGAGGATGCCTGGATTGACAGAGATGGTTGGAGATCGGGAATCGGAAGACGTAGAACGTTATAAACCGATAATTATATATATGTGATATGTAAAATAAACGAAAAATATGTGAAACGTCATATTTATTATTAGAGGAAATCGTACCTTTCTCAGCCTGGAACTCGCGAGGGAAAAGGGCACGGCAGAGAAACCCTCGATCTCAATTCCTCAAAAATCAAAACAGACTGTGTCATTTTAATAATAATTGTGAGTCAATAATATGTAATTGTAAGGCAATAATAATTTAAATTAGGTACCGTCCCTGTCCTTGTACTAAAATTTGTATTCCGCGTACTATATTCAATCAACACCACCCTGATGAGTTTTTGGTTAGTTAGCCAGTCTGCCAGCAGGTACTGAGGTCCCGTTCGGGAGGCTACCCAGCTATAGTTGTTATTTTGAGCCAATATCTCTAGACTGATCTTTCGATTTGTTTACTAGGATATTCGCTCAGTCGGGGTAGGAAAGTGGGCTAGTAGATTCAACAAGGCTCTAATGCACGCTCTGAATACCAAAAATTTAAATCCCAGCAGAAAAGACAGCACATAATTTCTAAGATTTTAATTTACTTTTTATCTACGTTGTTCACAACTTGAAACGATTTTTGTTAAATACATGAACAATGCACATGTTATAAAATATAGTATAAAAAACATACATACATAAAAATAATAGTTATTTATACACCAAGTGAGTTTAATGAATGTTTATTCATGAGAAGAAAGTTTAACCCGCGAGCCCTAGCGAGTGGTTTAATTTTCTTCGAATGAATAAACATTTTAACTCACGTGATGTATACAAAATTTTATCCCATTTTGATGGACATTTAAAAAATAAGGTTTGTACTTAATAGGAATCAAATTAAAAAAAGAATTCATTTAGCGAGCGCTAATCTAATATTGAAACTGATGGTAGTTGCTAGGTTATAACCAGTTGTTTGTTTGTATTTATAGCAGATTTTTATACTGGCACTACTGGCTGGAGTGACTTAAAAGACCGAGAGTGAGTTAAAAATATTTTAAGTCACTCAGGTGATAAACGTCTACTTACCTTTGTTATTATGCGTTCAATAATGTCATTTTTAAATGTCAAAATGGGATAAAAAAATAAAAATACTTATACTTAAATTGAATTCTCAAAAAAAAAAAAAACATTTATTCAACTGACTGAATGCTTCTTATGACACACAAACTAATCAGAAACTTGATTGGACAATAATTATCAGTTTAATACAAATTAAAAATTAAATAATGAACAATGGCGGACAACCTTCTTCTTGGTCTCCCATTTTCTGTCTACCCTTTGGTTGGCTTTTCCTGTGTGGCGTGGCTTCGTTTGCCTCTACTTGACAGCCGAGCGCATACATGGTTGCAACATTTACCATTTACTTTTCTATGGTAAACGTTTTAAAATGTTAGGATTTGAAGAAATAATATTTCAAATAGGTGGTTTTCGTCAATAGAATTTCTTAGTCCTTAAGACGTCTGTACGCAGATGTCTGAAAGACGTTGAGTTTTGTAACATACGACGTCTTCAAAATGTATTCAAGACGCCTTAAAGAAGTAAGCAAGACGTCTTGAATGTCATTTGTGGACATCTTAGGGACGTCTTCAAGATGTCTACAAAAATGTCCGATAGACTTTGTTTCTCACTCAATTTAGAAGTTACTGGAAACTATCTAGAATGTTACAGAAAACTTTAGAACTTTGATAAGCCTTTTGGAAAGTTCAAAACACTTTAAAATTCAATTCACAATTTCCAAAAGCTTTCTGTAGCGCTTCAGAACATTTTTGGACACTTCAGAACTATTTTAGAACGCCCCAAAACATTCAAAAGCCAATTTACAATTTCCAAAAGCACTTTAGAACAATTCAGAACTTTGAAACCCATTTGAGGACGCTCCAAAAGACTCAAACTGTCTCAAACACTCTAGAATCTCCAGAAACATTTTGAAAAGCGCCAGAATCTTCGGATTCAGGTTAAAAGTCAGAACCTTTCAGCGTTCAAGAGCGAATTTAAATTGCTATAGAACTTTTAACCTTTAATAAGCATCCAAAACAGTTCAAATCCAAATCAGAATTTTCAGGAGCATTTTGAAACAATTTAGAAACTTCAGATATAAACTGGGAATTCTTTAGAACTCCTTCGAACGAATTTAGAACACTTGTAGCCAAGTTAGAACACTTTAGAACCTCGATAAGCCATTTAGAATGTTCCAAAATACTTTCCAGCAGCATTTTGAAAGGCTTCAGAACAATTCAAAATCTCAGAATTATTTCAGAGAGCCTAGCGCCTGGAATGGACAAAAATTGAAAGTTATAAAATGACTAATAATAAGGAAATATTAGCAAGAAAATATTTCTCTGTCAATTCAAATTCTTGAATTTTCATAATTTTTCCTATTCCAGGCTCTTGATTTTTCCTTATTTCAAGAGCCTAGCGTTTGGAATAGATAAAAATTGAAAGTTATAAAATGAATAATAATAATGAAATATTAGTCCTGAAGACGTCTTCAGGCAGACGTCTGAAAGATTTTCAGTTTTGTAACATATGATGTTATTAAGATGTCTTTAAGACTCCTTGAAAACGTAAGTAAGCAGCGTCCAAAAGACGTCTTGAATGTCATTTGTGGACATCTCAGGAACGTCTTTAGATGTTTGTGTACGGTCTGGGGAAAGGAATTCGAGTCGGTATCATTCTGACTTGATTAAGATTTACTTCCAGAAATAAAAAATGTAAATGGTCAGATGATCTACTATCTGTCGCCAAATGGTCTTCTAATATTTAATAGATAGGTTTTTACCAAACTATAGATAATAATGGGAAGATTGTCAACGGTGTTAATTCAATTTTATCAGAATTCGGAATACTAGAAAATGAAGACAGACCTAGAATTTTAATACCTGAAAAGATATGCATCAGGAAAATTGGTAATGGACGAAATTTAATCAGTGCTCTACTTACCATCAATTATTCAAAGTATGCGGTATTTTATTGATAAAATCTTCAAACTCATAAGGCTCCATAGAATATCATTTACATATTTTTACATGACTAGACAGAACATAATCAAAAACTTCTCTGTTGAATATGAAATTCAATCAATACCATTAACAAATCAATTGACATTATTCATTGAAAGGTAAACGTCCCTGACCGCTGTTCAAAATTTCAATCTATTTTTTGTTTCAGAAACTAAAATTAAGTTGCCTCCTGCATACGTGTTCGTTAATTGTCGTGCCAGCTCGTCGTCCAATAACCATTATCGTTGAATAACTCCGACTCAGTGCGAGTGAGATTTTTTCCTTGCTTAGATGGTGGTGTAAGTGCCACTTTCAACCCCTACCCGAAAATGTCGGGCGATGTCCAACCCCGGAAAAGAAAAGACAACAAAAAGAAAGGAAAAAGTGAGTTGAAATTTTTGTATTGATATTTTTAGACTGCCCGCTTTGCCTAGGTCGTGTAGGGTCTATTTTTAAAAACTTTGGCACGTTGTTTATTAATTTTAGTTACCTGCTAAAATATACTTAAATGTTTTCTAAAAAAAGCCCCTTTTTTAATGTATTATTTTTTTATTTTGATTTGCTGTTTGCTCTAATAGAGAGGAGGCATGCTTAAAATTACACCTTTCTTTAGTAATTTTGGTGATAGATTTCTTGAGTTCCAATGGGTTTTAAAAACTATCCCAATTATTAGCCTTCTAATTTTTAACAAAAATTGTCTTTTATCTTTATTTGGCCAGTGAGAAACTATCATTGTTCTTTGTTTTTCTTTTTGTTTATTTTTTTTTTTTACCGCGAATTATACTTTCTCTTTCTACATGATTGCTTGTCAAAGATAATATACTTGTTTTGCTATTCTTTTATTCATTTTTTAATTCCTACTACTCCTGTTTCTGTTTTTTTTGTGTCTACTATTGTTACATCAGCACCAGCCCCTTTGTTAATTAATTTGCATTTCCACTTCCAATACTTTTTCTTGTGAAACCTTCATGTGCGATTTTTCAATATCCTATGTTATCAATTTGAACTTGTTATATTTTTATTTTTTTTTATTTCAATTAAATCCTCATTGAAGCCTTTGAAACCATTCCAATTATTTATGCTTACTTCTCCATTTCTCTTCTGCTTATAGGTGCTCAATAATTAGTTTAATTTGTTTTGATAGATGAAGGGGACGGATTCGCAGCCTCAAACGAAGACCTGAACATCCATATTTATAAAGATGGAGCCACGGGGGGAAACATCTGCGCCAAAATTGTATTTTTCTTCCTTCTTTCTGCCTTGGCCGTCCTTATTGGTCTAATTATCAAAGAAAACGAGGGACTCAATGAGCGTAAGTCATTTTACCACCATAATGGTTTATAATAATTGAATCTTATTTTCAGTTGAAAGTCTAGAACAAGAATCGCGATATGCTCAGATATTCGAAAATTGGATTGATGAAAACCCAGAGGACCATTCTCCTGAATTACACGAGCACGATGAAGACGACAATCATGAAGAGGAGGATGGTGTATCTGACGAAAGTAATGTAGAAGAATCAGAGGAAGACCAATCTCAAGAAGTAGATGACGCAGATGTCACTGAAGAGGAACAATCTCAAGAAGATGATGAAGAGGAAGAACAAGAAGACTCAACACAAAGATCTGAAGAAGAAGATTCATTACCTAGATCTGATGAAGCGACTGAAGAATCTGAAGAAGTACCTCAATCAGAAGAAGATGAAACTGTTGATGACAAAACAGAAGAAGAATCTGATGAACAGGAAGTAGACAAATCTGAACAAATAGACGAGACAGCAGATGATGAAAGTGAAAAAACAGAATTAAAGCATAAAGGTAAATCGGATGAGGAAGATAACGACAATGAAGATCTTACATCAAAAGAATATATTGAGAAGAGGCTAGAAGATGAGCAATTTGAAAAGGTAAGATACTGTGATATATGCTTTAATAAGCTAATGATTTAATATTGCAGGAACAAGATGAGGTTGCTCCAGAAAAACAAGATGGCGACTCCGAAAATAAGGAATCATCTGGCAGTAAGTAAATTATAATTTGTCTAAAATATAACTATAGGATTACTCGGATCATTTATATCCTATCGAGTCAGATTTTTTTTTTTCTGATTCCTTCTTTTGATTTAGTATTTTATTTTATCTTTATATCCCATGGATATCATAATGTAGTTCTTGTTTTTTTTCATAAGATTTTTTTTGGTTCTAAAACTATAAATTATATTCACTATCATTAATATCAGAGTTCGTTCGGTTTATTGAGTCTATACTGTATTGAAAGCGGATCGTCATTTTCTGAATCAGAAAAATCCTGTAGCTTTAATTTTTCTAATTTTTGTAAGTCAGGAAATGCAAATGAAATTTTTGATATTCTATCCATTTGTTTATTATTTTCTAAAATCCTAAAATTGTGGTCTTGTTGCAGTGACTACAAAAATTGTCGTCGGACTAGCACTTTTGGCAGTAGCCTACAATGTATTTCTTCGAAAACGAAGATCCGGTCAGTAGCAACTGCATGAATGTTTTTGATGTTGATTTGCCTTGCTTTCCTATATTATTTTTCTTTGCAACTAACATTGCATTTCCTGGTATTCGTATCACTTGATGTTGATGCACACTGTAACATTTTATATTATAAAGGGTGTCCTTAGATAAACCATAGACATAAACTGACACATTTTGCAGGAAAATATCTCTAAAACGAGAAAGGATAACAAGATACGGTTTGTTTTGGGAGAATGAGGAAATTTGGTTTTACAGACATGCAATGTTTTGCCAATGCCAAGCCTGATTTTTCTACTCTACAAAAATTTATATTCCTAATTTTTTAAAATTATCTTGAAATTGCAGCGTATAAATTGCATTTTGTTGTTAAGGTTTTAATTAGTTAGTAAAAGTATTAAACACAAATTGTATGATCGATTTTTTGCATCTAAATGGGAAAAAAATCATAATCCTACTTCTGAGCCTGAGATCCACTCGCGGTTTATTCTGTTCGATAAAAAGACCCTACTCAATAAATCTTGAAAGTTTGAAGTCCCTCTGATTAATTTAAATATTTTTCACAAGCTTCCAAAGGTGATTTATTAAAAATTTTATATGATTTTCTTGCATTTAAGTGAGAATAAATTCATAATTCCCTTTCTGAGCCTGAGTTCCACTCGCGATTTGTTTTGTTTAATAAAAAGACCCTACCTAATAAATTCTGAAAGTTTGAAGTCCCTCTGATGATTTGAAGTATTTTTTTTGCGCCAGTTGATGTACGTACCTACCCTCTTTAACAAATTGCAATTTTCACAATCCGATTTCAAAATAATTTTAAAAAAATATATGCATTTTTGTATAGTAGAAAAATCAGGCTTTCTGATGATGACAAAATATACCGGGTGTTTAATTTTATTTAATAATAATAATAATAAATGGATTTATTGTAATTCATTTGTTTACAAGTAAAGTCATAAAACAGTTAGCAATAGATATGCTGGTACACAGAAAAAATATAGGAATACAAAAATATAAGGAATATAGGTCAAAAGAAAAAGTATAAGCATTGTTCAAGAAGCTCTTAAAAGGGCTTTTAGCCTATTTTAGTTTGTGCAGAGCAATTCACAAAGTTTGATGGTGCCTATATTTTTTATTAGCGATTTTTTCGTTTATCATATGCGCACACGTCACTTGCTAGGAGCAGCTGCATTTTTATGCTACCTTATCCGAGATTTTAAATATAATATATTCTCGGCCGCAGAGTAGACAACTACACTCGCTACACGATCCGAACAAATTCGTGTCGTATCGGACGGTTCGGTCACTACAACGAAACTGCCCCTATTTTACTGCCCTAAGAAGCTACAGAGTAGGTACTCTGCTACAGTTAACACTCTTCATTTTGGACCAGTACCTACCCAGAGAACAAACAAAAACCCTTTTCAAAAGGTAAGTGATCTCTGCGTACCGGGCTTAAAAATTTATTTCTTTTTTTTTTTCAAATCATACAGTCCACTAAACTATTTGCATATTTTCCGCCACAAGCATTGTATAAACAGTCTATACAATGGTATAAGGTATAGAAAAATGGATAAAGCTATTTAAACACATTTATATAGGCCAGAGAGATAATGGAGGTGATGGTACGAGCTCAGACAAGAACTTTAATATTTTGTTTGACAAATTGCTTAAATTTATAATCAGAGGTTGTTTTATAATCAGCAGGAATTTTATCGGACATTTTTGATATTTGGTATTTGAAAGATCTTTCATACATGGATGTAGCATGCATGGGAGGAGTTATTGTAAATTTATGTCTAAGCTCCAAGTTATGGGCATCATATCGAAACCTAATTTTCTTCATATCATAGGCAGGACATCTTTTGCAAATCAATCTGTTGAACAAAACCAAGCTATGCAGTGCGCGTCTTTCATTCATTCTTAGCCATTCAATTTCGTATAACTTGGCACTAACACCCCTCTCACGACCCCTAATACCACCTATCCAATGACCTATTATCACAGATAGACAGAGTATTCCATTCATAAAATACTATTTGTTGTGTTGACAACATGTTTATAGGCCAGGGGGGATTTGGGGTGCGGGCGGTCCATAGTGGAGATAAGTCGCTCGATCCAAGTCCGGCCTCAACAGTTGTTCCCTGCCATGGACCAGGCTCAATTGGTCCCGCCTCAAAACCAAAACGATGATATTCGAAAAGTATTCCAGACTAACACGAACATATCTTATGTATCGGTCTTTTTTTAACATATACTAATTATCATCGCATAGGATAGAGACAAGATACTCTGGGCTAGAACGGAACGTATTACTACGACAAGCAGGAAGCCGAGTTTAGTCTAGTGCTGTGTTGCCAAGTGTAATTGAAAGGCAGGACTTTATACCTGCGTTAGAAAGAGAAAATAAATAAATAAAATAAATATTCCTACGACTAAATGTGGCATTTTAGTAGTGGGAGAATTTGGTCAGGATAGAAAGAATCGGACATGTTGTCAACATATATTTTTGATTATAAATCTGTCTATATGTGGTAATAGGTCATTGCACTTATTTACCTGACACACGAATTCTGCATGAGCTGAATTCTCCTGGCATCAGACACCAGCAGACATTACAGTAGTTGAAGTGCAATAAGACAATGGAATCGCACAGCAGTTTCTTAAGATTCTCATTAAGTAGGGCTCGTTGGTTAAATATTAGTTCGAGGTTGGCAAAAGCCCTTTTGACACAGTTATTAATATGCCCCGAGAATCTTAGATCACTATCCATGAGCAGTCCCAGATTTTTTGCTGCACCACATGCGTCTAAAACCTGGTTGCCAAAACTCAACTTTAAAAGATACTGGTTTTGGTCCCTGCTCCGGGTCCGGCCAAATAGCAGAACTTGCGATTTTGCGGGATTTATTTCAAGGCAATGAGCCTCTGAGGCCCTCTTAAGCGTATTCAGATCGTGCGTCAGTCTGTGTCGTCGGCATAATAGTGAACAGTCGAGTATCGCAAACATGTGATAGGCTGTGATGTACAGAGAGAGAAAAATAGCGTCCCAAGGATAGAACCCTGAGGCACACCACATGTCATACCCACAGGCCCCGAAAGCCTGCCACTAAGCTTAACCACTTGATTTCAACCCGTGAGGTATGACCTAATAAGAAGCCTCGAATCATTGTCGAATCCCAGATAATGAAGTATTCCTGAGAGAAGATTATGGTTGAGACGGTCGAAGGCCTTCGAGTGCCGTCAAATCGTCGCCACGATCCGAAGCTTTCAGAAAGTCATCTGTCACCTTCAAGAGCGCCGTTGCGCAGCTGTGATTCTTGCGGAAACCAGATTGGGCAAAGGGCAAGATTCGATGATGGATAATAGGTTAAAATTATGTTTTGTTTTGTGAATATGACACATTTCCAAAAAAAGTCGCTTTCTCCAATTCGTTTCGGAGTCTAGAATTCTGATTTGGTCAAAATCAAAGGTATGTCTTTCCTCAAAATGATGTTTCGCTAATCCAGTTTTGGGGTTCTCTATATTACTCAAGTTACAGTCGCGCCTATGGTCAGAAACCCTACTTTTCAAATATTGTTTAGTTTGGCCAATATAGCTACATTTACACTCACCACATGGTATTTTATAGACCACACTACTTTTTAATTCATTCTTTGTTTAATCTTTAGTTTTGGAGAATAGATTTCTTACTGTTCTGGTATTATACATGGCAATTTGGCTGCTGATAGTGTTAAGTTTCTTGGAGATTGTTTCTGAGAGGTTAGGTATGAAAGGAATTTTATAGTATCTTATGTCCTGTTGTGCATGACTATGATGAGAATCTATTAACTGCTGGTGGGCGTTGATTTAAAATGCGATTTATTACACCAGTTGGGTAATTGTTGATTTTCAATGTGTGTCGCAGATTATTTACATTAGCATTCCAAAACCTTTCATTACTCAATTTGAAGATCTTGTTACGATTCTGCCTACCAATATTTATTTTTTGATGTTGTGGATGGCATGTATTATAATTAAGATTTCTGTTGGAGCTGGTGGGCTTCTTATATAGATCAAAGATCAAATTTTGCTCCAAATTAATTACTAATAAGTCTAAAAATGGCTACTTGCCCTCCGTTTCCACTTGTGCAGTAAAGTCTAGACTCTAGACTGTTGTTGATTTCATTGAGTATAGCTAGGACTTCATTTACTTTATCTTTCGGGACTGCCGATAGGGAGTCATCAACATACAAAAAGATAAACGGAATTGCAGAATCTATTTGTTCCAATAACTTACGAGTAACATAATCCATCACCAGATTAGCTAGTATTGGACTAATTGGGGCTCCCATAGGAGTTCCATACTTCTGTTGATAAAAATGGTTATTCAAGGAGAAATAACTGCACTTGAAAGTAAACTGAATCAAGTCATGGAAATCAGCATTATTGATTTTTGTGATGATTCACAACTTCATATGAGTTTCTTACGTTAAACTGGAACATTGGTGTTAGCTTATTTAGTATATCGTGCAAGAAGAAGATAT